CTAGCCTGTCAGCCAGCGTGTCGACAAGCGGCTCGTCCAGTCCATCGCCCAGTGTGTCGCCAAGTGTCTTTTCCTCTACCTCGACTAGCCTGTCAGCCAGCGTGTCGACCAGTGGTTCGGCCTTTCCATCGCCCAGTGTGTTGCCAACTGTGTCGGCCTTCACCTCTGCTAGCGTGTCTGCCAGCGTGGCGACCAGCGACTCGGCCACTCCATCGCCCAGTGTGTCGCCAAGTGTCTCGGACTCCACCTCTTCTAGCCTGTCAGCCAGCGTGTCGACCAGCAGCTCAGCCAGTCCATCGCCCAGTGTGTCGCAAAGTGTCTCGGCCTCAACCTCTACTAGCCTGTCAGCCAGCGTGTCGATCACCGGCTCGGCCAGTCGATCACCCAGTGTGTCGCCAAGTGTCTTGGCCTACACCACTGCTAGTCTGTTAGCCAGCGTGTCGACCAGCGCCTCGGCCACTTTATCGCCCAGTGTGTCGAAAAGTGCCTCGGCCTCCACCTCTACTAGCCTGTCAGCCACCGTGTCGATCACCGGCTCGGCGAGTCGATCGCCCAGTGTGTCGCCAGGTGTCTCGGCCTTTACCTCTGCTAGCCTGTCTGCCAGCTTGTCGACCAGCAGCCCGACCAGTCCATCGCCCAGTGTGTCGCCAAGTGTCTCGGCCTCCACCACTGCTAGTCTGCTAGCCAGCGTGTCGACCAGTGGCTTGGCAAGTCCATCGCCCAGTGTCTCGCCAAGTGTCTTCGCCTCCACCTCTGGTAGCCTGTCAGCCAGCTTGTCGACCAGCAGCTCGGCCAGTGCATCGCCCAGTGTGTCGCCAAGTGTCTTGGCCTTTACCAGTGCTACCCTGTCAGTCGGTGTGTCGACCAGCGCCTCGGGCACTTTATCGCCCAGTGTGTTGCAAAGTGTCTCGGCCTCCACCTCTTCTAGCCTGTCTGCCAGCGTGTCGACCAGCGGCTTGTCCAGTCCATCGCCCAGTGTGTCGCTAAGTTTCTCGGCCTTCACCTCTGATACCCTGTCAGCCAGCGTAGCGAGCAGCGGCTCGGCCACTTCATCGCCCAGTGTGTCGCCAAGTGTCTCTGCCTCTACCTCTGGTAGCCTGTCACCGAGCGTGTCGACCAGCGCCTTGGCCAGTCTATCGCGTAGTGTGTCGCCAAGTCTCTTGGCATCCACCTCTGTTAGCCTGTCAGCCAGCGTGTCTACCGGGAGCTCGGAAAGTCCATGGCCGAATTTGTCGCCAAGAGTCTCGGCTTCCACCTCTGCTAGCCTGTCAGCCAGCGTGTCGACCAGTGGCTCGGCCACTCCATCGCCCAGTGTGTCGCCAAGTGTCTCGGACTCCACCTCTGCTACCCTGTCAGCCAGCGTGTCGACGAGCAGCTCGGCTAGTCCATCACTCAGTGTGTCGCAAAGTGTCTCGGCCTCCACCTCTGCTAGCCTGTCAGCCAGCGTGTCGATCACCGGCTCGACCAGTCGATCGCCCAGTGTGTCGCTAAGTGTCTTGGCCTCCACCTCTGCTAGCCTGTCAGCCAGCTTGTCGACCAGCAGCTCGACCAGTCCATCGCCCAGTGTATCTCCAAGAGTCTTGGACTCCACCTCTGCTAGCCTGTCAGCCAATGGGTCGACCAGGAACCCGGCCAGGCGATCGCCCAGTGTGTCGCCAAGTGTCTCGGCCTCCAACTCTGCCAGCACATCAGCCAGCGTTTCGACCAGCGGCTTAGCCAGTCTATCGCCCAGTGTTCCGCCAAGTGTCTTGGCCGCCATCTCTGTTAGCCTGTCAGCCAGCGTGTTTACCAGCGGCTCGGCCAGTCCATCGCCCAGTGTGTCGATAAGTATCTCTGCCTCTACCTCGGCTAGCCTGTCAGCCAGCGTGTCGACCAGCGGCTCGGCCAGTCCATCGGCCAGTGTGTCGCCAAGTGTCTCTGCATCTAACTCTGCTAGCCTGTCAGCCAGCGTGTCTACCAGCAGCTCGGGAAGTCCATCGCCCAATTTGTCGCCAAGAGTCTCGGCCTCCACCTCTGCTAGCCTGTCAGCCAGCGTGTCGACTAGCGACTTGGCCACTTCATCGCCCAATGTGTCGCCAAGTGTCTCGGACTCCACCTCTGCTAGCGTATCAGCCAGCGTGTCGACCTGCAGCTCAGCCAGTCCATCGCCCAGTGTGTCGCAAAGTGTCTTGGCCTCCACCTCTACTAGCCTGTCAGCAAGCGTGTCGATCACCGGCTCGGCCAGTCAATCGCCTAGTGTGTCGCCAAGTGTCTCTGCGTCTACCTGGACTAGCCTGTCAGCCAGAGTGTCGACCAGCGGCTCGGCCAGTCCATCGCTCAGTGTGTCGTCAACTGTCTTGGCCTCCACCTTTTCTAGCGTGTCAGCCAGCGTGTTGACCAGCGGCCCGGCCAGTCCATCGCGTAGTGTGTCGCCAAGTGTCTTAGCCTCCACCTCTGGTAGCCTGTCAGCCAGCGTGTCGACCAGTGGCTCGGCCAGTCCATCGCACAGTGTGTCGTCAAATGTGTCGGCATCCACCTCTGCTAGCCTTTCAGCCAGCGTGTCTACCAGCAGCTCGGGAAGTCGATCGCCCAATGTGTCGCCAAGAATCTCGGCCTCCACCTCTGCTAGCCTGTCAGCCAGCGTGTCGACCAGCGACTCGGCCACTCTATCGCCCAATGTTTCGCCAAGTGTCTCGGACTCCACCTCTGCTAGCCTGTCAGCCAGCTTGTCGACCAGCAGCTCAGCCAGTCCATCGCCCAGTGTGTCGCAAAGTGTCTCAGCCTCGACCTCTACTAGCCTGTCAGCCAGCGTGTCGATCACCGTCTCGGCCAGTCAATCGCCCAGTGTGTCGCCAAGTGTCTTGGCCTCCACCTCTGCTAGCCTGTCAGCCAGCTTGTCGACCAGGAGCTCGATCAGTCTATCGCCCAGTGTGTCGCCAAGTGTTTCGGCCTCTACCACTGCTAGTCTCTCAGTGAGCGTGTCGACCAGCGGCTTGGCCAGTCCATCGCCCAGTGTGTCGCCAAGTGTCTTGGCCTCCACCTCTGGTAGCATATCAGCCAGCTTTTCGACCAGCAGCTTAGCCAGTATATCGCCCAGTGTTCCGCCAAGTGTCTTGGCCTCCATCTCTGTTAGCCTGTCAGCCAGCGTGTTTACCAGCGGCTCGGCCAGTCCATCGCCCAGTGTGTCGATAAGTATCTCTGCCTCTACCTCGACTAGCCTGTCAGCCAGCGTGTTGAACAGCGGCCAGGCCAGTCCATCGCCCAGTGTGTCGCCAAGTGTCTCGGCATCCATCTCTGCTAGCCTGTCAGCCAGCGTGTCTACCAGCAGCTCGGGAAGTCCATCGCCGAATTTGTCGCCAAGAGTCTCGGCCTCCACCTCTGCTAGCCTGTCAGCCAGCGTGTCGACCAGCGACTCGGCCACTCTATCGCCCAATGTGTCGCCAAGTGTCTCGGACTCCACCTCTGGTAGCCTGTCAGCCAGCGTGTCGACCAGCAGCTCAGCCAGTCCATCGCCCAGTGTGTCGCAAAGTGTCTCGTCCTCCACCTCTACTAGCCCGTCAGCAAGCGTGTCGATCACTGGCTCGGCCAGTCAATCGCCCAGTGTGTCGCCAAGTGTCTCGGCCTCCACCTCTGCTAGCATGTCAGCCAGCTTGTCGACCAGCAGCTCGACCAGTCCATCGCCCAGTATGTCGCTAAGTGTCTCGGCCTCCACCACTGCTAGTTTGTCAGCCAGCGTGTCGACCAGCGGCTTGGCCAGTCCATCGCCCAGTGTGTCGCCAAGTGTCTCGGCCTCCACCTCTGCTAGCCTTTTAGGCAGCGTTTCGACCAGCGGATTAGCCAGTCTGTCGCCCAGTGTTCCGCCAAGTGTCTCGGCCTCCATCTCTGTTAGCCTGTCAGCCAGCGTGTCGACCAGCGGCTTGGCCAGTCCATCGCCCAGTTTGTCGATAAGTTTCTCTGCGTCTACCTCGAGTAGCCTGGCAGCCAGCGTGTCGACCAGCGGCTGGGCCAGTCCATCGCCCAGTGTGTCGGCAACTGTCTCGGCCTCCACCTCTGCTAGCGTGTCAGCCAGCGTGTCGACCAGCGGCCCGGCCAGTCCATCGCTCAGTGTGTCGCGAAATATCTCGGGGTCCACCTCTGCTAGCCTTTCAGCCAGCGTGTTGTCCAGCGGCTCGGCTAGTCCATCACCTAGTGTGTCGTCAAGTGTCTCGGCCCCCACCTCTGCTAGCCTGTCAGTCAGCGTGTCGACCAGTGGCTCGGCCAGTCTATCGCCGAGTGTGTCGCCAAGTGTCTCGGCTTTCATCACTGCTAGCCTGTCAGCCAGCGTGTCGACCAGCGGCTCGGCCAGTCGATTGCCCAGTGTGTCGCCAAGTGTCTCGGCCTTTACCTCTGCTAGCCTGTCAGCTAGCGTGTCGACCAGCGGCTCGGCCAGTCAATCGGCCAGTGTATCGTTAAGTGTTTCTGCCTCTACCTCGACTAGCCTGTCAGCCAGCGTGTCGACCAGCGGCTTGGCCAGTCCATCGTCTAGTGTGTCGCCAGCTGTCTTGGCCTCCACCTCTGCTAGCGTGTCAGCCAGCGTGTCGACCAGCGGCCCGGCCAGTCCATTTTTCAGTGTGTCGCGAAATATCTTGGCGTCCACCTCTGCTAGCCTGTCAGCCAGCGTGTTGACCAGCAGCTCGGCTAGTCCATCACCTAGTGTGTCGCCAAGTGTGTCGGCCCCTACCTCTGCTAGCCTTTCAGCCAGCTTGTTGACCAGCGGCTCGGCCAGTCCATCGCCCAGTGTGTCGCCAAGTTTCTCGTCCTCCACCTCTGCTAGCCTGTCAGCTAGCTTGTCGACCAGCGGCTCGGCCAGTCCATCGCCCAGTGTGTCGCCAAGTTTCTCGGCCTCCACCTCTGCTAGCCTGTCAGCCAGCGTGTCGACCAGCGGCCCGGCCAGTCTATCGCCGAGTGTGTCGCCAAGTGTCTCGGCTTCCACCACTGCTAGCCTGTCAGCCAGCGTGTCGACCAGCGGCTCGGCCAGTCGATCGCCCAGTGTGTCGCCAAGTGTCTTGGTTTTTACCTCTGCTAGCCTGTCAGCCAGCGTGTCGACCAGCGGTTCTGCCAGTCTATCACCCAGTGTGTCGCCAAGTGTCTCGGCCTCCACCTCTGCTAGCCTGTCAGCCAGCGTGTCGACCAGCATCTCGGCCTCCACGTCGGCTAGTTTTTTGCCGAGGCTCTCGACTTTTACTTTTCCTGCTATCCTGTCCGCCAGCAGCCTGTCGACTAGTCCGCTGTTTTCGCTTGTTTCTGGGTCGTTGTCTTTTACTGTTTCTGCTAGTGTGCCTGGAGTATCCGTTGGAGAGAATTTGACGACCTTTTCTGTAGTTCCTTCTTTTTCTTCTTTGTTAGTATCTTCGTCTTGCCTGCCAGGATTTTCTGGGGTCAATTGTTCTGAAGGTTGGTTTTGAATTTTTTTCCTGGGTTTGTTTTTCGAGTTTGAGTCGTTTGAAGGTAAAATGGGATAAAGCAGTGTTTGTTTTGTTTTGGGAGCGAAATAGTTTGAATATTTTGACTTTCGTCACGGTCGTATGATTTTTAAATATCCTTGTTAGTCTCGTAATAGTAATACGTTTGCAAGATTTATTATTTCATTTTTTTTAGATATCAATGATTGTTTGGGTGTGACATGCCTTAACAATGGCACTTGCATGGACCAAGTGAATGGATATACTTGTCAATGCAACATTGGCTTTTATGGACTCAATTGCGAAATAGGTATTGTTCACCTAAGTTTCTTTGTATACTTTTAAAGCTTTTTTTTTGGTTTTGTTAATGGTGTCGATTTCATGGGTTTTCAAGGAGTCCTTGACACGCTTGACACGATGAAACTTATGTTATTTCATATTGTAACCACCCTCATAACCCGGGACAGGACGAACCGACTATTCCCTTAATGGAGTTCATATTTTCGCAAAACAACTCGCTATTAGTCTCTAATTTAAAGATGATAACGCCAAATTGTTTCCTCTTTTGCTGAGGATTTTGACAAACTAATAATGCGTTATACGTTTGTACAGGTCCCGAGATTTATTAATGTTTTGGGCGTGACTTTCTGTTTCTTAAACAGAGTTTTCAATTAAGGTTTTTTTATCCTTAGACATTGAAATATAAAGAGAGCCGAAACCATATATCTCTTGTTACTGTCCTCTAGCGTTGATGTTACAAAAATCGTCTGTTAACAATCCTTTTTTGAAAAATTCATTTTCAATACGAAACAAGTCATAACGTGACAAATGTGAACATAGGTATTTTCTCGCCAACGTTTTGTGATATATACTATTCCCTTTAGAGTTTTGGTGATATTATTATTTTATTCAGTTTTACTCGATTCAACGTGAACTGCTACATCTATTTCAATTATCTCTCTTTTAATATGTTGAATTGTCTATTCTAGTAAAGAACGGCTCGTATTGAGGATCGTTTGTTCTTTGAAAACATTTAGATATAAACATTTACAAAAACAACCGTATTTATTCAAGAGCACAAATAGTGTGACTAAAATGTTCCTGAAATCGTTTTAAAACCTTGCTTTCTTTGGGTTTGTTGTTTTTAGCCTTTTTCGTGTTTGGAATGGCGAATACTAGATAAACCAAATTCACTACAATAGTTTCGCTTAAAGCTTACTTTTTACAACCAATACGAAAAGTGATTACTTTTTATAACCTGTTCTTTCTTTTATTCTCGATCACAAAAATAATCTATAAGATTCAATGTGTATTTTGAACCTGATAACGCGAGGTCATACATCATCTCAAATCTTGAAAACATGCATTATCGTTACAGAAATGAAATAGTTATCCCCGACTTCACAATCAAAGTAAAACCAGGGAAAAATATAATTACTCATACTCACTTGCTATGCAGTTCCTGAAGGCCAGCAGGTGAGGTCAACGACGCTTAAGCTTTGCTGAATGAGTTCTCAAAAAAGCGGCCATTGATAAATCTCGTTGACTTTATGGAACGCTTTTTTTTAAACAAACGAACGCTGAAGGAATAAGAACCTGGTAGCAGCTGTATTTAATTCTGTGGCGGCAGTTGAAGAATACGAAAGTGAAAAAAACGTAAAATTACACAAAGCTTTAGTTGTCGATGCAGCACAAATATGTACGCGTGAATTAACCAGTCAAAGTTATGACCAAGCTTAGACAAGTTTGGTCCTGGAGCGTAGCTAAGCGGTAAGGAAAACATATTTTTTTTTACCGGGGCGTCACTTAACAGGTTTGCTTTTCTCCAAAACAAACGCATAATACATTTCTGGGATTCCCTTCCCCTCCCTTACAGAGTCTCCGTTCCTCATTTACTAGTGTCTGTGGGGACGTACGTATGTACACTGCGCTGAGGTCACAACCAAATTCAAAGGGTTCAAATTTCTATAGCAGAGAGGCTAGCTTGCAAGCACCTCTAACAACATACGCTTACGAAATAAGGCTATTTAAATATCTGAAGGAGATTTAAATAGCAATTAGAAACGTAGGAATAAGTGTTTGTGAGGTAAGGCGTGAGCGTTATCGCTTTGATAGTAAATGAAGAACAACGCGTTGTGGAAATACGTACTTTCTAGTTCAAGAACCATATACCTTGCTTTATAGTTTCAGTGAAAAGCAGAATACAACTTAACAGAAACTTGGTTTATTTTACATCTTTCTCGTAAAGGGTTTGATGACACGTTTTCTTATTTCAGCTCCAGACGCGTGTAATCCAGATCCGTGTGAAAATGGAATATGTTCCATAAGTGGTGACTCCTACAGTTGCATTTGTGACCCAGGCTATGAAGGCGAAAACTGTGACATAGGTAATGATATCAATTTGGCACTTTATGTGCCATGAGAGTATTTAGGTGAAAACTAACGGACGCTGAATTAATAACGCCCTTATCTGGCGAAATTAATAAATACATAGATTCATCAATATTAAAGTGCTATATAATGTGCGTTGTTAGATAAAAAATACATTCCCGAGAAATGGATTTTGGAAGTGGTGGAAGGAAATTTACGCATCTAAATATTGCAGTTGAGCCTAGACCTAAGATGTTAGCCCGCGTGCCCCTTGGTACATTGAGGAAATCAAGGAGCAGAAAGTGACCTGTCGTAGGCTTGAAAGGCGATGGCGTCCTTCCCGACTCACTTCCAGCTATCAATCTTATACCGACCAACGAACTGTTGTAAAGCACACCATTTTCAAATCAAAAATGGATTACTTTTCTAGCCTTCTCTATTCAGCTGAAAGTGACGGCAAAACCCTGTTTCGCACAATTACTCGTGTTCTTCACAGGAAAGCAGATAAACGTTTCCCTAACAGCTCTTCTGCAGTTGATCTCGCCAATAAATTCATCCACTTTTTTGAGGAGAAAATCGTCAATATCAGAAGTAATCTTGGTACACCTGTAATCCCTGATTTCTTCAGAACCCTTCATCATCACTAACCTGTCAGCTTGTAAATTTTGCACCAACTTCTAACACCGAACTGTCGAACATTGCTAACAATATCATCATGAAATCCTGTATTTGGATCCACTTTCCGCCACCCTACTGAAGCAGCACATCGATTTACTTTTACCAATAATATTATCCTGAAGATTGTCAACTTGTCACTGGAATCCGGTTATTTTCCGTCTTCTTTGAAAACTGCTGTTCTATCCCGTCTACTTAAGAAAGCCAACTTAGATCATGAAATTCTTGCAAACTACAGACCTATTTCAAACCTCAAGGTGATCTCAAAAATTATTGACATGTCGTCGCAGTACGTCTTCAAAAATATTCAGAAAGTAACAAGCTAAATGAGCCACTATAATCTGCCTGTAAACCTTTCCACAGTTGTGAAATCGCCCTTGTGCGCGTTTACAATGACGTTTTGGTTGCTATTGATAAACGTCACTTTGTCATGCTTCGACTGTTAGACCTGTCTGCTGCCTTCAACACTGTGGAGATTGCACTCTAAATATTCTATCTCTGCCATAGGTCTTGAATGGTTTCGCTTATACCTTACTAATCGCTCGCAATTTTCGTTAACTGAAGGGTGTAAATCACGGTCTGGCGAGCTCAAGTGCGGTGTACCTCAAGGTCCTGTCCTTGGACCGGTTCTGTATGTACTCTACACAGCACCACTGGCCGACATTCTACGATTGCATGAAATGCACTTTCACTTTTACGCCGATGACACTCAATTGTATATTTCTTTCTCTACAAACAACGATATGGAATTAACTAACAGTATCACTAAGATTGAGGAATGCCTGTCCGAAATTGATAAGTGGATGTCCATCAACAGACTAAAACTAAGCAAAGACAAGACCGAGCCTCTCCACTAATTCTCAAAGTATAATTCACAACAATCTCTACTCCCGCTTCGCTTTGGAACTGACATAATCAAGCCCTCTTCACATGCAAGAAATATTGGCGCTATCTTCAATACCGCTATGTCAATGCTTCCCCAAGTCAACAATGTTTGTAAATCTGCCTTTTATCATCTTCGCACCATTTCCCGCATAAGGAAATACTTATTTACGCAAACTGCTGAGATTCTTATTCACACCTTTGCAACTTCCAAACTAGATCACTGCATTTCTCTTTTATATAATGTCCCTAAAAGCGTCATCAAAAAGCATCAATCGGTGCAGAATGTAGCTGCCAGACTGATTACACGCTCTAGGAAGTGTAATCACATCACTCTCATCCTCTTCGATCTTCACTGGCTACCTGTTTCTGAACGAATTAAATTCAAGATTCTACTACTTACCTTCAAGGCTCGACATCAGCAATCTCCAACCTACATTCTAGACCTAATCACCCGCTACTTACCGTCTAGAGCGCTTCGATCATCTTCAACGCTCAGTCTGAATCCTCTTAGCTTTAACCTTAATATGAGACCTATGGATCTAGAGCATTCTCTGTCTCAGCCCCCGAACTTTGGAACAAACTACCGAACGACATACGCTCATGAGAGAATCTAAGTCTTTTTAAGCATAAACTTAAAACCTACCTTTTAAAGAACTTTTATTTTAGACATTAGGAAGTTTTATTTGATTTTATGTGTTTTATTTAAATTTGAATTTATTTTAAGCAATTTTAATTCTAATTTTTTCGCTTTGTTTAGCGCCTAGATCTATTACTGGATAGACGCTATAAAAATGTTCTTCTTCTTCTTCTTCTTCTTATTATTATTATTAATATTATTATTAAGTTATTTCCATTTATTTCCTCGTTGCAATACGGCCAATTAAACACCAGTAATGTAACCTCCTCAAGGGTAGTTTCTTTTTGCCGTGTAAGTGGTAAATAGTTTGTTTTTAAGCGTTTGCAGTGCTATGGACGACTGAATGATATAAGCATATTCCAATATGATTTTACTAATAGCGACTTCACATTGTTGGAAACAGAATATTTAGCAATATTTCTTCTTTCTTAGAGCAAGAACCATTACAGTTTGAAGTTCAGATGGAAATACTTCAGCTAGGCTCTTCTTACGACTCCTCCCTGGCTAACAATGACACAGACAGTTTCCGCGCTCAGTCTAACGCCTTAACCGATGACGTTTTCGAGCCATACTTCAGAAGCCAATTTCCAAGTTTTGACAGAATGGAAATTATTGGCTACTACCAAGGATTTCCAGGTTTAGGAGTTCGATACAAGCTTTACTTCCTCGCCTCCTCTAATGTAACAAATGTCAGCATTGCTCTTTCTCTTCGAGAAGCCAACAAGACGAAAGACATAAATTTCTACACCATTGGGGGAAATTTGCAGGTGTCCGAAATACTTCCGATCTTGTTATCAACAACACCGGCAACTACTATAGTACCTCCAGGTATGTTGACGCAAATATGATATTTTTAGATAAATGCATTATTTCTAGCAGTAGTCTTGTTATTTGTGTTGTAAACCAGACACCACAATGACGCATTTTCAGTTTTATGGACCTTATAGAATAAGTTAGTCGAAGCAATCGTTGCATTACCTGGCCTGCTATCCTATGTAGTCGTAGTTGGTATAGGAGAGTAGTTATGAAAGCCGGCAAACATCACCGTTGAAACAACAATTCTGTACTTTATGCTGGAAGCTCCCTAACCGTGCACAATCCTTTGTTTTTTGTTCACAAATTATGACTGAATGAATTATTGCGTTGTTGTTATTGGTCAGTAAGTCCAAAATGATAGGAATGCTGTTTAACGTTGTGCACGGTCAAGTCAAGAAAAGCTAACAAAACCATATAACATATCTTCCTTTTTCTTCATTATTTCTATGAAGTAAATTAAAAGGTATGGACAAATTTGTCCGGTCATTTGAGTGTATTATTTGTTGCTGACATATTAACGGCGTTCCTACATTTCACTGCATTTGAATTCCTTATAAACGTTCTAAAAGTCCGTAACATGTTCTGTTGAAGTTAAAGGAAATGTTCTATAAACTATTGTATTTACATGCACAGCAATCTTTCTTCAGATTTTAGTAAGCCCTGTACATCTGTACTTGTATATAGGGCAAACTAAGACGTAACTCAAACAGCGGACCTCACATGGGACGAACCCAATGTTAATGAGCTAAGTCTAATGTTCTCTCTCATAAGCAGTAGGTTCGTAACACGTGACGTTCTACGCGGGACTCTGGTCTGATTCTTGTTTTCCTGTGTGAATGTACTTGTAGAATGCTTTATTACAGCTACAAAGACCCCATTACTACATCCAGTTCCAGTGACTTTAGCATATATATTAGCAACAAATGGACATTGAGGAGAACGTAAGAAACATAAATACAAAATTAATTAACTTACAATCTCAATTACAGTCAATTATTTATTCAACAGAACCCTCCAAAATTGAGCTTTGGATAATCATTCTTGTTGTTAGTTTACTTCTTCTCTGCTGCTGCTGTCCACTTCTATTGTTATTAGCGGTAAGTGAAAACTTTACTCATAGGAATCCGTTAGTCCGGTATCTTCTTTGTCTTTGTCTTGCAAGCTGAGACTTTTTCCACATGTGTCTCTGGTCGCAGTTATAGGTTCCGTTTAAATGTTCCATCACTTCCTCTTACACACTAAGGTAACTGACGAATGTCATGGAGTCTGAATTTTTTTCTTGTTTTTTTCAATAGTGAGGAATAGTAAGGATGACTCTCTGTTTTTAGGAAAAACTGTTTGAATGCAGAGGTCCACGCAACGCGTAAATTAAACTGACTGGTTCCTCTTGCTGGATCTCTAATGAAAGAGATGCTGTAGCCAGACGTCACTTGATGTGTAAAATAACACAAAACTGAATGCAGAGCTGGTAATGCGGCAAAGGGCTGATTTATTGTAGGCCAATATTTAATTAGCCTTCCTCAGGGCCAGAGTTATACCGAGAGAAAATATCTGTTAACGGCTCCGAAAATTTATATTGGAAATTTACATAAGTGGTTAAGAATTAACTACAATTATAAATGCTACATAGAATGATATACAGGCCGAAATATTGTCCTATAATAAATCAGCCCTTTGCCGTAGTGCAAGCCTTGCATTCAGTTTTGTTCTCTGTTTTTGTTTTTAAACCCTTTTTAAAAACTGTGTTAAACTTAATCATTTCAATATGCACAGGTCTCATAAGATGATTAACGACACTGCAAACGACGTAATATCTTAAAAAGTGGACCGTTCACTAACTAGTGCATATTTATTTACTTATTTGTAGTTCAGTATATGAGCCTTATTTTCTCTTTCCTACAGCGGAGATATAAGCGCAAGCGTTCTCAAGATGTAGTCAATATTAATGACTTCTCTGATTGGTATGCCCCAGGTCTGCGGGCAGACGGCCAGTCTCCGGTAAGTAATTATATAATGAATACTAAATACATTTCTCTCAGTTTGTGTAAATGGGGCGTGGACTTTATTTGTACCCGGTAAATGTTCTTTTTTAAGGTAAGCTAATTAAGTGTTGTGTACTACTGTCTTTCGTGTCAATTTTTTTTTCTTTCAAATTGAAGAGACTTGCACTTTCATGAACATTTCAAGCTTGAAATATCACGTAAGTGTGATATAATAGCAGAAAACAGTTCTACCTTGTGTAAATTTCATGAGGAAAGAAAGGGGCTACGGCCGATAGGATTTAATGCTGATCTACCCATCCGAGAAAATTTGGCAATCACGTGACCGTACAGCCGCCCGCCCGACCTTCAGGCCGTGCCACAGGCAAACCAATGGAAAATAACTCAATCAACAGATGTGTCAACCCAAATGCAACTCGAGCTTATTTTGGCGGGAAATCGCATAGCCACCTGTGTCTTGTAAAGCAGAGACAACTAGATAGTCAAAAAAGTCTAAAGACGAAAACGGAAAGGGAAAATTGTTTCTGTATCCGTGTTGTGTAAAATATTAAGCTTAGATTAATTGTTATGGCCACAAATTTGGAGTATAGAGCAAGAGAAAGACAGAGAAAAAGAGAAAGTAGGCGGCAGGTCAGCGAAGCTCAACGAGAAAAAGGGCGACAGAGATCTAGAGCGACAGATAGAAAACAGGAGACGTTTTTGTGTTGGAAGAACTACATTAAAATTTTGTAGCGGCGGTGACAAAATAAGAAACGCTAGCGGCCACCAATCAAATGCAAGGTGAAAATGAGCGGCAGTGAAAAAAAGTGAACGAGAACACGTACGACATTTCGTCCATTAGAAGTGTAACTAAGACCCTGTTTACATGGAGTGGGGGACCCCGGTCTAGTGGGGTAGGTTTCTTTTGTTTTGTGTCCTCCAGAGCGTGAAAACAAAAGAAACCAACGCCACTAGACCGGGGTCCCCCACTCCATGTAAACAGGCCCTTAAGAAGTTTCTAGAAGTTTCACGTTGCAGTCGTGCAAAACAGCGGCAAAGTAATGTACAAAAAAAGTGTGCGGCACGTGCAAAGTTGCTGTTATGCTATGATTAGACCTATTGTTGTTTTTCACTGTTCTCCGTTTCCTTCCCCGCTTAGCATTACACGATTTTATATTTTGTTTGAATGAACTAAAAATATTATCGAGAGCTTCGCTTTTAGCCCTGGCTAAATCCATATATTACGGCTTATTGTGTGGTATTAATCCTTAAAGACAAATTTCTTTGGATTGGTTCTCATGGTTTTCAGACGGAGTTTCACAGTCGCCAATAATACTATTATAAATAAAGAAGGAAATACCATGTTATAGCTACAAACAACATCAAAATAATCGAGATACTTTCCTTGAACGGGGTATATTTTTATGACAAAACAACCCCTCCCCCCTCCTCCCCCTTTGAATGTTGGGGAGTTTGTTGTTTCCTACAGGTGACAGCACAACTGTTACATTGATTAGAAGGAGTAGGAGATTGATTAAACTTCTTTTTTCCATTTTGAAGTAGATAGTTTGAGCAAAACGTGAGGAATGTCCTTAAGGGTAACGTGTCGTACTAAATTTGTTGCATATTGTAAGCACCATTAATGAGACACGCAACTGGTCTTAGATAATCAACAATAACTTTATTGGTTTTTTTTAATTTTTTTGCAGGCCCTTTTTGACGACTTGAATGAGGCGATTATTTAGGGCATCAGATTGACATTAAATTAAAATCTAAATTTGTCCCCTCTCGAATTTGTTTCTTATACGACCTTAGGCTCGTTTTTCCTTCATTTCAGCATCATTTATTAAGAATTAATATTTAAAGAGTCAACGATTTCTATTTCTTACTTAATTTAAAAGGAAGTGTATCAGGGATTTTTTTGTATTATTAATGAATGGATACTTAAAGCGGACCGTTAATCGTGCAATCGAAATAATTAAAAGAGAAGAATATTCGTGTTAGTAGGAAAGATTTTATTTTACTACGAATTTTCTTCTATAAAAATATTTTTCAGTAAAGAAGAGAAACAGTTTCATCCCCCCAAAAAATTCAATTAAGAAAGTTAAGATAGTCTTGTTATTTCATAGTTAGAACATGAATGTAATAAAAGAAAGTAATAAAAAATGTTATTAATAACTGGACTATGGCTATTCAATGTTCAGCATTTAATTGGCTCATCGGAGTAGGGTTATCAGAGAGACTAATAACCCATTTTGACCTAATATGATAAACTAGGGGTACCTTGAGGCAAGAGATATCAGGTGGGTTTGGAGATATTAGGTGGGCTGTCAACAAAAAAAAATCGCGTCCAATAAAAAAAAATTGCTCATATGTTTTACTACAGTTCTGACTACACAAATGGCAATCTGATTGGACCTTTCACCTTTCCTACGATTTAACCAGGAAACCCCTTCTTTAACAAGGTACCCCTAGCCCTGTCTATATAGAGCGTTTTCACATGACGTCACGGCGACCATATTGGTGTTTCAAAACAACGACATGTCGGCCATGTTTGTGTCCCAAACCAATCCTGTGGGAGTTGAACTTTTTTTCCCATGTAAAAACTGTCTTTTGTTCCAGTGAATTTGCATAGATGCTGGCCACGTGAGTGAAAACGTTCTAAGCACCCTTTATCTTTAACATGTGCCACTCCCCGGGAAGTGCCATAATGCATTTACCATTGAATATAGCACCAGATTGTGGCCTAGTTGACGGTTAGAGATGACGATTACGAAAGCGTTTAGAGAAAAAATTCATAGCATTATCTCGTACGCCACGATATTTGATATTTTTTAGCTGGATCATTTGCGGCGTTGTACAAATCCCAGACGACAGAACAGAACGATACGGTGAGTCATCATAGTTGTTCATTTTGTTTGTTTGTTTGTTTTTTCATCTTAATTTATCTATTCAGTGTGTTCTGGTATGTTCCGCAGGGGCGGATCCACGATTTTTTTCAAAGAAGGGGTTGTAAGTATAATAGTTCAAGGAAAACCATGGACTAACCCTTTTGAACAAACTAGTGCAAATTTTGCTTCTTTTTAAAATCGAAGTTTTTATAGCTTAAAAGGATTTGTTTTCTATCTAGAATATTACAGAATACTTTTTCTAGGTCTGTTTTGCATTAAAAAAAAGAAAAAACATTAATAAATGTCAGTTATTTGACCAAACCCATGGAAATTTTTTCATCTTTTGTTTTTATGAAAAATAGACCGAGAAAAAGTATTCTAAAACATTGTAGATAGAAAACACGTGTTTTTAGACTATAAAAACGTCGATTTAAGGAGGTCACAAAATTTACATTTTTCGAAAGGGGTTAGGTCATGGTTTTGGTAAAAAACAAAGGCTAAAGTTTTTTCTTGTTTTGTTTTTATGCGAAATAGAGCGAGAAAAAGTATCCTGTAACATTCTACATAGAAAAAAGTATTTTTAGGCTTTAAAAACTTTGATCTAAAGAGTTGCAAAATTTGCATGTTTCCAAAGGAGTTGGTCCATGGTTTTGGTAAAAAAACTGAAGTTTTTTCATGTTTTGTTCTTATGCAAAATAGACCGAGGAAAAGTGTTCTGCAACATTCTAGATAGGAAAAAAGTCTTCTTTTGCTATAAAAACTTCGATTCAAAAAATCGCAAAATTTTCATTTGTCCTAAGGGGTTAGTCCATAATAGACCTTTTTACCGATACGGCGGCCATATTGAATTAATTCGATTTAAGGAGTATTATAGGATGCCCAGGGGGCATGAGCACATTTCGTTTGTATTTTCGAGCGCTTTTCGGGACATTTTTTCTTAAAGTTTTCTAAGAGCAAGATTCTAATGGGACAAAAGATCCTTGTGCCGTGTTTGGATGTAATAATGATAGCCTTTTTCCCGAGAAATATACAGTGAAGGACCATATTTCTAATACTAAACTAGAAAAAGGCCATCATTATTACATCCAAACACGGCACAAGGATCTTTTTTCCCATTACAACCTTATTCTAAGAAAACTTTAAGAAAAAATGTCCCGAAAAGCGCTCGCAAATACGAACGAAATGTGCTCATGCCCCCTGGGCATTTTTGCTACTTTTTTTAATTAAGTCGAAGTTTTTATAGCCTAAAAAGATTTGTTTTCTATCTAGAATGTTACAGAATACTTTTTCTCGGTCTATTTTGCATAAAAAAAAACATTATTAAAAAATCTCAGTTTTATGACCAAAACCATGGAATAAAAAAGCCTTGTTTTCATATGTCGGGAAAATCCCAGACGATCGGCGATTTTACCGTTTCCCGACTATCCCAGGTTTTGCCGACTAATGAAAACTCGAAATCGTAGATATCCCCGATCGTCTCGGATGGACGGGGACAAATCTGGAGAAACGGGAGCGTCTCTATTTTCCGGACGCGTCCCCTTCGACGATGGTCGGCGATCATTCCCGACAAATGAAAACCCAAATTTGTACCGTCGGGGACGTCGCCGATGGATTTCGCTCATTACCAATCCCCTAGATTGCTGGGCTCCAGTCCTCCTATCACAAATAAACATGGCGTCTCTCAAGAATCTGGAATAGACTTCTGGCGATTATCCGATATATCGGCACAATCTGGGATGGTGGGCAAAAAGTAAAATCCCGATCGTCTGGGATTTTCCCGACATGTGAAAACCAAAATGCAAATTTTACGACCTCCTCAAATCGAAGTTTTTAAAGTGTAAAAATACTTCTTTCTATGTAGAATGTTACAGGATACTTTTTCTGGGTGTATTTCGCGAAAACAGAAAAGATGAAAAAACTTCATCTTTATTACCAAAACCGTGGACTAACCCCTTTAGAAAAATGCAAATTTTGCGACCTATTTAAAGCGAGGTGTTTATAGTCTAAAAGCACGTGTTATCTACACGTGTTTATTTACAATGTTTTAGAACACTTTTTCTCGGTCTATTTTTCATAAAAAAAAAAGATGAAAAAAATTCAATTTTTTCAAACAAAATTGTAGATAGAAAACAAGTGTTTTTATATTGTAAAAGCTTCGATTTGACAAATTTGAAGTTGAAGAAGGGAGACTGGGCCGAGCGTCATGGTGGAAGGCCACGCGGTGTGAAGGGCAACCTCAAGAAGGGAAAACCTCAGTTATTATGAAAGAGGCAACCAAGGCACTGAAAGACTCTAAAACGGTACAGGAGGACGAGATACAAGAACTGCGAGCGCTCCTTACAAAAACCAAAGCTGAGCTAAAGGAGGAGAGAGATAAAGTTATAGAGCAGGAAGATTATACTCGGCAAGAGGATCTAAAATTTCACAATATCCCAGAATCAGAAGAAGACGGTGTTAACCACTCGCCGAAACAAGTTATTCTCAGCATTTTGCAAAGGGAGTTGCAAATGGACACTGCACAAATTCGATTTCACGCAGTGCATCGAATTGGCAAGCGAAAAGAAAACAAACACAGACCGATAATTGCTCGCTTCGTTTGTGGAGAAGACAGAGAGCAGGTTTTGCCAGGAAGAAGGGGATTGAAGAGAGCACAAGGTTCAAGGACGCTTACATAACCGCGGATTATGCAAAAGCTTTACAAGATGAACGACGGAAGCTAATAAAGGCGATGTTCAAGGCAAAGGAGCAAGGTTCAGAGGCCAAAGTGGTTGGTAGATATCTGTTCATAGGAGAACTAAAGTATGATGTAAACAATATCCCTAAAGATTTTAATTAGATCAAAGAACGTTCAACTAATATACGGTACTACTGGAGAAATACAACAACAACCTCTTTAAGTCAGATTGAAGCTAATTAGATTCTGAAAAATACAATATTTAAAATTGTAGAAGGGTTAGTACCTCTTAAAATACTTCATTTGAGTATCTTAAGGGAGTATGTTTCGCCGGCTAGGCTTTTGGTGGTTGATGTGGGTCCCTGTATTATTTTCTTTTTCTTATCTTTTAGTGTTGTATTTAAGATTTTTTCGATTTTTTTTTTCTATTCTAAATTTCCCCTACTGTGTTTATTTATTAATTTTATTTATGCACATTCAGTATCCTTTACTTGCTTTCTAAGTATGTCTACATTCACGCCTTCGTTTGTTAAATTACACCTTCGGCGCTTTTGTTTTCAGCTATGCAGTCCCACAATTTGCATGCAGTGAAATTAGTTGTTCTGTGCTTTTAAACTAATATCGCTTATTGCGAGGGGCTTAAGTAATTTCCGCAAAAGAAGAACCATCTTTCTCTGGTGTCGTAAACGTAAATTAGACCTTGTTTTTTTGCAAGAGACGCACTCGATCGCCGCAACAGAGAATCAAGGGAGAAATGAATGGGGTGCTGAGACGATATCTTGCCACGGTAGTTCTAATTCGCGAGCTGTTGCGATTTTGTTTAAAAATGGTATTGATTGCGCCATTAGTCATAAAATTGCAGACCCCGAGGGGCGATACATTATTTTAAAGGCTTGCATTCAAGATAAAGACTTTGTGCTGATTAATGTTTATGCGCCGAACAAAGATAAGGACCAAGTGAATTTTTGCAACAACCTACTTTCAATTTTGCAAAATGAAAATCTGGATTCTGTGGATGACATCATACTAGGAGGAGATCTAAATTGTCCACTCGATCCATTACTCGACAAAAAAGGTGGAGCAAGTACAAAAAGGAAGTCAGTTATCCCTTGTATCGACGATACCTGGATATCTGGAGATCTCAAAATCCTGACGCAAAAAGTTTTTACGTGGAGTCAAAAATCTCCGCCAGTTTTTTGTCGTCTCGATAACTGGTTGATATCTGATAATCTGCGCGATTTTGTTGAATTAACCGAAATAATCCCGGCTGTGCGCACAGATCATGATGCAATTTCTTTAGAACTCGGACAGTTAGAGAACGAATTGAAAGGGCCAGGAAACTGGAAAATGAGCTGCTCTCTGTTAGATGATGAAGAGTACGAAGACGATATAGCCAGGATGATTCCACTTGGGACAGCGTATGGGCAGAAAGAATTTACAGATGATCGTATAAAATGGGATTGGATCAAATACAACATAAGAGCTTGTGCTATTCAATACTCTAAAAGAAAGGCAAAAGAAAGGGGAAAAAAAGAACTCGACCTTCAGGAAGAATTAAGTAGAGCAAGGAGTAAACTTGAAAATAATCCAAACGACCATAACATAACCTATTATAACGTAGTTCAGGGGAGGTTGGAGTCGTTTTACGAAGAAAAAACCAAAGGCGTAATAATACGAGCTCGTGCTAAATGGCATGAACATGGAGAGAAAAGCACAAAATATTTTTTAAACTTACAGGAAAAGGAACCGCGTTAAAAAACATGTAAGAAAGCTGTGCATAAATGGTAAAATCACAACGAATCCGCACAGTATACTAAAAGAACAAGAGCGTTTTTGCAGAGAATTGTACAAAAGCAGCATTAATAGTCCTAATATAAGAGAGAAAATATCTGATTATTCCCCAACTTTCGAAGGAGCAAAAAAATTCCTGTGAATGATTAATTTCTCCAGAAGAATGTTCTGAACTCTTGGATAGCTTTCGGAGTAATAAATGGCCCGGAAATGATGGCATTCCGGATGAATTCTATAAAAAATTTTGGCCACTAATAAGCGAAAGTTTTATCAGGTGCGCAAATGAATGTTTCTTAAAAGGGGAAATGTCATGCTCACAATAACAGGCTGTAATTAATCTGCTTGGGAAAAGCGGAAAAGATCGTACTCTCCTCGAAAACTGGGGGCCAATATCTCTTGTTAATGTGGATACGAAAATTATGTCCAAGGTGATCGCTGCGACGCTTAAAAAGGTGTTACCCAGTATCATTCACTACAACCAGACTGGTTATGTTAAAGGTCGTTTTATTGGTGAAGCAATATGTTCTATTTTCGATATCACTGATTTCACAGCTAAGGAAAACATCCCAGGTTTATTGCTGTTTATAGATTTTCAAAAAACTTTTGATAGTGTGGAATGGGAATTTCTCATTGAGAGTCGTAAAAAGCTTAACTTTGGTCGAGACTTCCTTCAATGGGTGAAGACCTTCTATAACAACATTCAAAGCCGTGTTATAAACAGTGGCGTTAGTTCTAACTTTTTTAGCGGAGCTGTCGCGCGCGAAGCGCGCCAGCGGAGCACAATCGGTAAGAAAATGAAGTAATCTACCCATCCGAGAAAATTTGGTAATCACGTGACCGTGCACCGACCGCCCGTCTGCATCACATGCATACCAATGTAAAATAACTCAATCAACAGGTATGGCAACCCAAATGCAACTAGAGGTTATTTTGGCGGGAAATCGCATAGCCACCAGCGTCTTGTAAAGCAGAGACAACAAAGAGTCAATAAAGACGAAACGGAAAGCGGAAATTGTTTCTGTATCCGTGTTGTCTAAAGTATTAAGCCTAGATAAATTGTCATGTTCACAAATCTGGAATATAGAGCAAGAGAAAGTGGGCGGCAGGCCAGCGAAGCTTAACGAGAAAAAGGGCGATATCAGGGATTTAGAGCGAGAGATAAAAAACCGAAGGAGACATTTTTTTGTTGGAAGAACAACATGAAAATTTTGTAGCGGCGGTGACAAAATGAGAAATGCTAGCGGCCACCAATGCAAGGTGAAAATGAGCGGCAGTGAAAAAAAGTGAACGGGAACACGTACGACATTTCCTCCTTAAATTATTTAAACTACTTAACACATTCGAAATTCGCTCTGTTCGAAAACTGAAGGTATGTGGATTGGATCTAAGAGACATTATAAAGAAAAACCATTCGGTATTAAATGGCCCGATGAGCCAATAAAAGCTCTAGGTGTATATTTTACTTACGACCAAAAATTGCTTAAAGAAAAGAATTTTATTGAACGACTGGATTCAATTTAAAAGCTTATTAATATATGGTCCGCTAGAGGCCTGTCAATGTACGGTAAGGTGACAATAATCAAATCTTTTCTTATCCCTAAGTAAATTTACGTTTTTTCGATCCTTCCAACTCTCAAGGAATTGCTAAAAGAATTGAATAAAATACTGTTTAAATTTCTCTGGAAAGGAGTAGATAAGGTAACAAGAGCTTCAGTTATAAACGAATACGAAGTGGGAGGGCTAAAAATGGGAGATCTCGAGTGCATGGCTAAATCATTGAGATTAGCTTGGTTAAAACGTATCTTTAGTGGGATTAATGGAACATGGAAAACCTACCTACAGCACATACTGAGCTCCGTTGGGGGATTGTTCTTTTTTAACTGCAACTACAATATCTCGGATTACACAATTCCCTTTCAATTTTATCGAGAACTATTGTTATGGTGGTCGCAGCTTCGTGAAACGTTTGCCACTGAAGAAGACTGGAAAACCATAATCTGGAATAACAAAGAAATAAAAGTAGAAAACAAGCAACAAGCTTTATTATAAACATTATGCTAAATTGTAATTCGAGAGTCATTTGCATTGAAGATCTTTTATTTAGTCTGAACACAGGCCTGGTCTGAACAGTACTGATTCTGATAATCAACTGTCTAAAAAAATACGCAAAACAAATATTTTAGAATGGGCTGGCTTACGTAGGTCCATTTCACTATCGCTAAGAAGCTATGACGGGTATCCCTCCATAAACTCAACAACATTTGTGTTGGGTGACAACATTTTTGATGTTACGAAAGGGAAATCAAAGGGTCACTACACCCTACTCATCAGAGAAAAAGCTAAACCGCCCAAAATTGTTCAAAAGTTATACAGTAACTTTCATTTTAACAGCGACCATCTGAAGCAAATATTTAAGCTGCCACACTCTATCGTTGTCGAAATGTTAAAGCCTTCCAGTACAAAGTAATTAACTCAATTCTTTACACAGATACAAAGTTGTATAAACCACAGGTAGCCCAAGCTCGAAATATTATGAGCATTTCAAAATATAATTTTAACAGCGACCATCTGAAGCAAATTTTTAAGCTGCCAAACTCTATCGTTGTCGAATTGTATGTTGGAGCCTTCCAGTGCAAAGTAATTAACTCAATTCTTTACACAGATACAAAGTTGTTTAAAATAGGTTTTAATCAACCCGAATCATTAACCCATTTGTTCTATCACTGCTCACGTTCTAAACAGTTTTGGACTGAATTTAAATTATGTTGGTGCCTTGTTTCGAATCAACGAATTCGTCTCTGCTCAGAACAATGTGCCTTTTGGAATTTTGACGGAAAATGCTTGCCCTTTACTTCAATTGCTGAACTATTTTATAATTATTGGAAAACTCTACTTGTGGGACTGTAGGAGCAAACAAATCCTTCCAAACATCTATGGATTTAGGGCGAAGATCATCGCTAAATATGAAAGAGTATAAAAAAAATTAGCAACAAAGAATTCTTTAAAAGAAAGTGGATACTGACAACTTATTTAAGTTACCTGCCTTAACTCCGTATTATTTAATTGCGCTGTTGTACTTTTTTCTAACTTCTTTTAGCCGTGTATTAATTTAACAATGAATTTTGCTTTACTCTGTCTATGTCTATAGTTTAAATGCTTTTTTGTTGTATTGTAAATGTAATTATCTAATGTGATTATCAATAAATATAT